ACTTTCGGGGAGGACAGAATTTTGCTGTTGTCATTCCATTCCGTGTTCATCCAGTTCCACATCCATCAAACTTGACAGGAGCTGCAGGCCCATGCGATTTCTGGACTCGTCTTTAAGCAGAGCAACTTGTGAAAAAGATCGTTCAACTGTTGCATTTGATATAGGGAGGGTGAGGAGTTTAATTGCACCCAGGGCTAAAGCATCTTTAAAAGATTCCCCTGCCAAAGAGAAAGCATCAATCATCAGCTTGAAGTTTAACAAGAGATCCACCTGCTGTTAAAACTAGCATAAACTGTGGTGCTACTACACTAGTTATCTGTTGTAAACACCCTGGTGGATGACATTAGCTGCCAGTAATGAACCTGTATTGATGAAGGATTGGTGGTAAACTGCCTAATCTGTCAACACTGAAGACCAGTCATCACTTTATAACAATCGTTATCATCACACTACTACTACCAGTATTATTGATAATAATGCCAACAATTATAAGTAATAAAAGTATGTCAAAATGAGTATTGGTCAATACCTAAGGCTGCAGTATCAGTATCGTATAGGAAAAAATGTGTATCAGGACATCCCTGACATAAAGCATTTCTTTGAGATTAACACCTTCTTTATTTATTGTTTGTGGGTTTAATGCATCAATGATGGTCATTTAAATTCTGGCTTTAAATCTGAATCCTCTCTGCAGGAAAGATCATGCGGCGGGTGCTTCGGAAAATCGCCTGCGACGAGAAGGATCTGGGCGACGTCTCCACGCTGGCCGACTCGTCCGTTGTCGAAGAGCTCTTCAGGAACAGATGCCGCACCACGGCGTGACGACCTCCATTACTTTTCTGAAGAGGCTCTGAGCGCCGCTCCGTTAGTCACAGGCAAACAGAGAAGAAGCAAAGCAGCAGATGAAAACCGCTGCTTCGAAACATCTCTTCCTTCTCATGCAGTAGCTGAACGCAAGCCTCAGTCTTCAGGGTTGCAAATATTTGATTCTCTGAGGATTGAGAAAGGAGATGCTGCATTGATGAAGGCAACATCCTACTTGTTTTTGTTTTTTTTATCAGTGTTCAAGCTGATACACAACATCCCAACGTAGCTGCTCAGTTGGAACCCACCTGGTCTTTGTTATTCCTCATCTCTATGCTGGTAGAAAACAGTAAACTCTGTCTAACAGCCAACAGTTAAATGAAGCCATAGCACCATCAATGATCAGATTTATCCCAGACTGATTAACATTTTTAACCAGATTTTATGTTTTTTCTTTTGTTGTTTTAAAAAAAAAAAACCCATCTGCAAGCCCTTGTTTATGTTGATTTTTATTTGTCCTTAGTTTAAATCCTAAGTTTTGTTGGTCCTGTGTGTGAGCATGCTTGTACGTCTGTTTTTATTGTCTGGTAAAAACTTGGGACGGAGTTTAGCTCTAAGAAAGCTTCTGTGTTTGAAACAAACATTAACGATTAAAAATAAACCAAGAAGTTTAATCTTTCCGCCTGGCATCAGACATTGTATTGAAGTAGTGATGGGTTAATGAGGCATCTGGAAGCGTTTGATACTGTCTCTCAGAATACTGACACCTGCTGGACCTTTAAAGACACTACAGGCAGCTCATTTGACAGACTAAACTAAATTGATTCGATTTGAGGTTGTATTGTATTTTATATTTATGTTTAAATTGAAAATATCTTTATTTTTAGATACAGCCATTAAATAATGTAAACGTATAGACGTCAGAAATTTAGGGTAAAATGTGA